GATATTTATATAATTTTTTTTCTGAACTTTTTTAATATCTATATTGAGAAATTAATATATACTTTTTATTATAATCCCTTCTATACCATTATATGAATACATTATAGGGAAATTATCGCATATTAATTGTTTAATTCTATTTATTTTGGTTTAATCAAATGATTCAAATGTTTAATGTAAATAATGGAAGAATTAGACTTTATGATATAAAATATGGTGTCTACTCTTCATAGTACCACTTTTCACATTTTTGTACGATTGGAATATATTATAATCTTCATCTTTATTATTCCACTTATTTTGTTTTCTTCTTAATGTTCTTTGAAAGCATAAATTATATGGGACAAACTAGTTAATAAAAAAAATTATATATTAAATAAATATTATATTAAAATTTCTTTTATAATTATATAAAAAATTTATTTTGTACAACTAATATGTATACATTATATAATAATTACATTATGCAGAATAAATAAAGTTATTGATATTAATAATATCACAAGAATTGTAATTACAATAGGAATTCTTATATTATTTTTTTGAAGCAAAGGTAATATTTTATATGTTAATTCGTCGCAATTTTTAATTGTATTTAGTGCATTATATTTATGCCTAACATTTTTTAACTCATTACAAAAATCGGAGTAATTATTGGATTCACATGAACCTTTGTATTTCATATATAGTTCAGCGCATTCATTAGCACAACTGCATTTATTTTTACAAGGAGGATTACTATTATTCTCTATATTTTTAAGATTAGTGTACATGTCATCCAGAACTTTGAGCTTTGACATTTCATCATCTGTAATAGTAGTGTAAACATTTTTGAAGTAATCGTTGCAATAATTTAAATCCAGGAAATTGATCAAATTTTGATAAAGACTTATAAATTCACTCACACATTTTTTAGTATCACGATTATAAAAATATAGCCAATAATACAAATATATGCAAGGGAATTCTGTATTTCTAAAAGTACTGTTTACTGCTACATTTTGTTGATAATTTTCCACTTTTTTGCATATTTCTTCTACGTATGAACCTAAAGTTGAAAATTCTTCATTCTTAAATGAACTACAGTTACCAGTCTCCACACTATCACTAGGGAGGCTTCCATTTTCCATAATTTTTTTCAGTTCAGGAAATTTTTTTACAAATTTATACTTGAAAAAAATGAAAAATTATTTTATTATAAAAATTATAAATTACTAAAATTCTTTTTATTATTTTTATATAATAATGTTATGATGTAGTTATTTATATTATAATATTTAAGAGGTACAATATTTTTAGCCATTCTTATATTTTTATATTTCTTTACAGAATGCCTCGGTAGAACAATCAAATGTATGGGAATATATAGAGAGTTTTTAAAAATTAAAACTTATATTCTGAAATAAAAAAATTTGTTCATCTTATTTAATTATAGATTTAATATATAAATTGAACGAACATCTTGATTATTAAATTTCACACAAAATAAAATAAATGGCATTCATTGTAACATATATATTTTATTTTATAGTTATTTTAATTAAAAAAAATAAATATTTCTTGATAGATTTAGAACAAATTAAAAAAAATAGGTTGATTGTAATATTTGATCAAAATATTAAAATTGTACCTTTTTACTAATTGAATAAGTTCAAGAAAAAAATATAATAATATTAAATGCTATTAACATAACTATATTAACAGTAATATTTATTATATATCATTTACAATTATTTAGTGATATGTATGATTTAATTAAATCTTATAAAATATTAGAACATATAATGATTAAAGATAATTTTGTAGCTAACTTAATTCTTTTATATATATAATGATATAAGTTCATTAATATATGTTATCATCACTTGCGAAATATGTATATCAATACTCTTTATTAAAATTAATAATGGATGTAATAATATGCAATACATAGTATACTTTTATATTACAATGATATATGGCCTTCTAAAAAAATTATATTTATATTCTTTTATTAAATTCATATATGCGAAGAACATTCTTATGCTCCAAGAACTAATTTATTAAAAATTTATACACTCTCAACAAAACACATATATTAAGGTGATGTATAATCATTAATAATAAGTTATTTAAGCAATTCGTATACTATATTTCACATTTTCATTTACTTTTATTTCTCAATTATTATCAATTTTAATAGAAATGAAAACAATAAATACATGAAAATTTTGGTTATATAATATAATAAATATATAATATATGTTAAGTCAGTATTTTTCAAGAATTAATCACTTCTTACAATATTTGACCGACGTTTTATTTATGAACCTTGTATATATCAAAATTATTCATTCTAATTATGTCATACAAAGCATTTTGAGTTTATACTATAATAATACGTGGAATGTACATTTTATTATTCTAATAAAAATCGACATTAACATAATAATTGTTCCCTATATTTGATCATGTAATGTAAAAAAATAATAACTTTTTATAAAAACTTTTTTTTATGTTAAGAATATATATTCACTATTAAGAAATTAAAATAATAATTATCATTACTTATTTTTATAAAAATAAATATATTTGCAATTTCATACATTTTTTATTATTCAATAATTGTTACTATTCAATAAAATAACGAATTTAGCTGTATAAATAATATATAAATTTTATTAGCAAAGTCAAATATATATTAAAGAATTCATTTACTATATGTTTAAGTTTTAATTAGTTAAATGTATAACATATTCAATGATAATTTTTCTTTAAAATAAATATTATTACGATTATGAAATTATAAAAATGGTGCTATTCATAAAGTATAGAATTGTTATTGTTATGATATAATTAAATGTTTTATAATATAAAAATATATTAATAAATTAATATTACCTTATTGATGAATTACATTATATGAAATGTTATAAATTAACATTTATAATGTACAATATATAACTTATTATATTATTTCTAATATGAATGACGAAAAGACTTCACTCAAAAAAGTATTATATATTAACTCTACAGAGAATGAGAAGTTTGTACATAAATATGATACTCTAAGATAACGACACATGTTTTTTTAAAAAATATGCATCTATATATATAGCCTTCCTTTTATAACACACAAATGAGAACATTAAACTGTTCCAATGAGACAAGAATATTAAAAGGCGAGTATATGATCTATTCATAAAATTACAAATATAAAAAAAGGAACATATTAAATAAATACATATATCCAAATGATAAAATTCATCAATTAATAAAAAATTAAGTAAAACTGTAAAATAAAGTATAATGACTAATGAAAAGAAACATGATATACATATTGAATCGTTTTGTTAGTTTCTCCCAATTTTATAAAGAATCTGTACATAGAAAAAATGATTTATATATAAATATATACCAAATTCATGTTCGTTCCTTGTAAAAGGAACTTATGTAATATATAATGGATATAGTTTTATAATTTTCTAAATACTAAATATGCAATTGATAAAAAATATATATCATCAATATATTATCCTCTAGAATTATAAATATTTTCAACATTATATTATCTTATAATATTTATATAAAAACCACATATATATATCTATAAATTTAATTATTATTCTGATAATTATTACGAATACTATATGTCAAAATTGCTAGATAAATATTTCTCTGTAATTTATTATTAGGATTGTTATAAAGCTACGTCTATATGCTAATGTATAAATTGAATAGAAAAAAAAAATTTTTAAAAAAAAATTAAAATACTAGAAATATAATATTCAGGAAATAATTAACAAAATGCTGTGCTGAAAATGTATATGATAAAAATAATTAATTTTCCTTAAATTAATAGTAATATTTAGAAACCATGCCCATAATTTCCTTAAATATTTCACAACATTTTCTAATATATTCCTATATAATATTCTTTTTATTCCATATTTAAATGAAACACACCATGCTTAATAATGTTTATTTATATTCAATATCTTATTTTATCAATTATATATGATATACTGCAACAATAGTGTAAATGATTAGGAAGTTCCTCACACTCATACAAAATCAATTTTTTGAAAAAATAAATTTATATTAATCATTTTTACTTATTTAAGAGAAATTTATATAGTTATATATTCTCTATTACATATATCTTTTTATAAATGGAGATATCTATATTTTTTGTGACACTACCATTTTCGTATACATAACATTTTTTTAATGATTTATAATGTTCTCATAAAAACGTAATATATAAAACTATTCTTTATTAATATAAAATTAATTTTTCATTTTTATTTGTATTATATTAAGTTTATTTGTTTTACTGTTCATGATTTATTCTATAATATAGAGTCTCTTAAATACTTAAATTAATAATTCTATCATTCTTTATTACTACAGTCTAATACAAAAGAATATTATTTCTTTTAATTCACATATATAATAATTGATATAATTTAAGTTATATATATGTTATTATTATTTTATATTTCTATATTTTTTGTGTGACATAATTTTGAATTATCTACCAAAAATTTTTATAGCACCTAACATTGTAGATTAATGAATTATTTTTAGATTTTTATAAATGCAAGATTTCTTTGTGAAGCTATTAATAATTATTTAATCATATATAAATATAAAATAATAAATAATATACATAAAAGTCATAGATAATTGTATTATTCTATACATAGAATATATTAATAAGAACATATTATACATCGCATTTAATAAAACAGAACGTTATAAAGTTAAAAAACATTATACATTCTTTTAATATATATTGTCTATAAGGACCATAGAACGTATATAAGAACAGAATATAAAATAACTCTTAAAGATAATGTACATTTTTTCTATTTACTAATACGATTTTACATTATGTATTATAATGTTTGTATTGTTTTAAAATAAATATATACAAAATATTTAAATTGGTTAAAATATATTTCCATACAAATTTATAAAATGTCATAGATTGAAATTACATATGAAACTTTATAATTCATATTTCTTATAAGAATGAAATAATTAGCATATTATAGAGGCCATTTAATTAGTTCTATTGCTATATGAAAGTTAATATTCTGTAAATTGTAACAGAATCATAATAGATTAAAAATATAAACAAGGTTGGTAAGATGTATAATATGTATAAGGATTCATTGATAAATCTAAGGACATAATTAATTTTTAATATATTTTTTTTCAAGAAGAGTAGTATAATATTAGACAAACCAAAGAACTACTAATTAGCACAGCATATAGTAGGTTACGCATTGGACACTTTCCTTTATTAATGCCTTATTATATGCTTCAAAATATAACAATATAATGTAAATATACATATTAAAGTTTATTACTTAGTTTACGTTAACAAAATAGTATTATGAAATATATAATGTAAAGAAATGCATTTTCACATATATTGTAAAAATTATATTTTAGTTAAATTGATGAATTGCAACAAAAAGCACAATCTATATTACTTCAACAGATTATGTTCTATAATGCGACATATTAATGTATAACGTATAGCGTCTAGATATGTGACTTCAAAAAGTTGAATGAAATTAATATTAGAACTCTATAGAACATTAATAAATCAAGTATAACAATTAATTACGGTTTAATTAATGTAATTATAATCTGCAAATGAGAAGTAAAGATGCATATGTTATAAATATATTACATAAATTAGTGCAAAATTGTTAAAAAAAATAAATGGTTTAGAATTTTGTATGTTCAAGACAATTTTATCCTATTAACTTTAATAATAAAATAGATTCGAAGAAATTGATAAAAGAATAGAAATACGATTTTTTAAAGAAATATTACAAGCACTTTCGTTATATTCATGCAAACAAAATATTTGATGATGTAAACAAAAGTTATTAAATATATACCTTTCAGAAATAATAGATTTTTCATTTATTTATCTATATAAAATGTCTTTATAAAAAACATAGAACACACTTTATGACATATATATTAGTAAATAAATTATATATCTTTTAATTTTCATCATTCTCTATTTTGTATGAACCATATATACTACAATTCAGTATAATGAAATATGAACATTGATTTTTATTATTTTGTATATTTTATTACATCTCAGGAAAAAGAGAATCAAAAAGAGGAAAAGAAAAAATAATTTCATAGGAATTTTTTGAAATATCAGCTGTAGTTGCACACGATATAACACAGAAGCAAGGGAATAGTAAAAATATATTGCTAGAATACCTATAATAAGCTCATTAATGAAACATATAATTATATGTTAAGGGAAAAGATATTTATATATAC